GAACACACATGAAATAGTCTTTCTACCACACATCCTTATCTTCTCAACCAACCCACCTTTCTGGGTTCCCTGCTATTATTTCTTGGCTTAGAAACATATACTCTGTACAAGGCAAACTGAAATTTATTGCAACAGGACTATACTTGTCCCACTAGGCTCATTTTCCTAAGGTGAAAAATTGATCACACCCAAAGGCCTTCCATCCCCACGGACACTGCAGAGGAGATAGATATTCATGTCTCAGGTACCAAGTAAAGTCCAGAGTTCAGTGGCCAAGTCTCTCCATACCAGGAAGTTTAGTTTGGAGAAGGCTGTGAAGAGATGTAGTTTTCCTGGCATTTCCTGGCATTCCTGGATGAAGCACTATTAGGTGGGGCATGCAAATATTGCCTTCTCACCTTCACAGTACCTTCAGGGCCAGGAAGGACCTGGCCATTTGTCTCTGGAAATCTGCTTCCAACGAGAAAGGCAAAGACTTTTAAAATGTAAAAACAGGAAGAAACTAAAGGCAGCATGGGAGTAGCCTCTCCTCCACCCGCACCCCAACCCCCGAACAGGTCGATAGCCTGTCATCACTACCCTATTTCTATTTCAGACTGTTACTTTCTATGGCAACCAGGGTGTGTGTGTGCTTAAGTATTTCCAGATTTGCTAATCGGGATATATGACCCCTTTTCTCACATATGCCCTAATGAAACACAAAGGAAGCGCCTTGCCACCCTCTCAAAATGAAACACACTGAAGACCCTTCCTCTAAACGAGAATAAGTTTTACTCATGCATTCCCATCAATTTTTCTATCACTGTAATCATGAGTTATAGTTTCTAGAACAGCAAGGCAGACACAGACCTGCTGCCTAGACTATGGCAGGTTTTTTATATTGAATATTCTTTAAGACAAGGTACAGGCAGAACAAACGCAGAGTGTTTAAAGGAAACAGGTCTACAGAGAATAGAGTAGCTCACACTTTTGCTTTTCTGGGGTACTAGGCTAGTTGTGACATGCAAAGGAAAAGACCTAAAACTTGGCTACCTCTGTTTAAGACTGGGAATCAAATGTGTTTCTCTCTGGGCTCGTCGGAGTTTTCTGCAACTTCAGCACCACGGACGGCCTGAAGCTCTTCCTTCTGTCACGGAGCAGGGATCACTGCTCGAATGAATAAAGGTGAGGTGGGACAGGTTCACTCCATCTCTTTAAGGTTCTTGTTGCTGGCTGGTGGCTAGCAGTGCCTCTTTACCTCTTGCCCTTGATACCTGGCCTGCACAATTAGCACCTTTTTATAGTCTGGCCTCTTGTCTAATTACCACAAGCCTCAATTGAGCATTTTATTTTATTGTCTTGTTTATGCACTGATTCCAGTGCCTGGGCTCTCCAGCTATAATAAACCCTAAACTCCTTCTAGGCAGGCATGTGTTTTCAGTTTATCTCTTCAGGCCCACGAGAACACTACTCATGAGCATGCGAACAAATACTTCCTCATTGTTTGAAGAGCTTCTAGATGTTTATTCTGGGTGTAAAGCACATGGTTGAAATCTGGGTCTCCATGCCTATCTCAACCCTCTGCACCAGACCACTGGCCTGCTCGGCCGCTGAGGGCTGTCCTCGGCACCTTTGAGTTAAGCCCTACTCAGCCTGTATGTAACCTTTTCCCTCATCTAAAAGGGTTAGAAATAGAACGTGGTGCTAATGGGAAATTCCTATGTTCCTCTAAAAAAAATGATTCAAGGGATGGAAGTTTATGTTTGAATAGACTCCTGGCTTTTGGAATTAAAACTAACTATAGTTTATAGGGCAATTACCAATTCCATTCCAAACATAGACCTCCTTCATCAAGTACTCTGGGGAATGAGATGGGACCTGGGAGGAGACTGCACAAAGGGTTGGTTAGGTGTGCAAATATGGGAGCCAGATTACCTGGTCTCAAATCCTGGCTCTGCCACTTACTACCTGGGTCAAGACAATTAACCTCTCTGCACCTCAGTATTCAAATTTGTAAAATTGAGAGAATAGTGTCTGTCTCACAGAGCTGTTGTGAGAACTGAATCAGATAATCTTTGTAGGGTTTTAGAACAGTGCTTTGCACATAATAAGCACTAAGTAAGTTAGTGTTAAATAGAATTAAGAGTACAGAGATTTAGAATAGACAGACCTACAAAACAGTATGCTCCCCAAAGAATCTGACAGTGATGGAAAAATGAGCTGGTTTAACAGAATAATGTGCCATCCTTGGTTTCTTGATGTTCTGGCTAACTTACATTTTTTAAATTGCTTCAATAAACCAAAAAAGAACTCTGAATTTACGGGTTTTAAAAATGTCTAATGCGTTATCACAACAAATGGGATAAAAATGTCCTGGCTGCACTGAAGTAGAACAATACAAGTGTTATTGTTTTAATAGAGAATTGAAAATGAACATTCTACTTTTTCCACCTCTCACACCTACTTAGCCTAACATGTCAGACATCATTCATAATATTATTTAGCAAATACTGCCAACCCTTCTCCATCAAGGAACCTTTAGTCAGTTGTCAGGGAAACAGTTCAAAGAGATGTTCTATATATATATATATATATTTTTTAAAGTTTTTTATTGATATTTTTTAGAGAGAAAGGAAGGGAAAGAAAGAGAGCAACATCAATGTGAGAGATACATCAATTGGCTGCCTCCTGCATGCCCCCTACTGGGCATTCAGCCCAAAACCCAGGCATGTTCCCTGACCAGGAATCAAACCGGGACCTCTCAGTCCTTGGGATGCTGCTCAATCCACTGAGCCACACTGGCTGGGTGAGATGTTCTCTATTTTTAAAGACATAATGAAAGATTTTTATATAGAGATGATTCCATTATATTCAAACTCAGACTTTTCTTTCTGTGTCTTTTCTGATATGTCCATTTGCTTCCACTTTTTAAAAAAAATTAAAAACATTTTTTTCCTTTTTCTTTTTTAGAGAGGGTAAAGGAGGGAGGGGGAGAGGGAGAGGTGGAGAGAGAGAGAGAGAGAGAGAGAGAGAGAGAGAGAGAAACATCAATGAAAGAGAACACTGATTGGCCGCCTCCTGCATGATCGGGCCCACAACCTGGGCATATGCCCTGACCAGGAATCAAACAGGTGACCTCTTGGTGCATGGGTTGATGTGAGCCACACTGGCTGGGCTGCTTCCACTTTTTAAATCTTCAATCCTCTTAGATATCCTAGCTAGTAAAATTTCACATTCAGGGTCTTTCCTTTCTCAGCAATCTCTAGTAGAAGATACCATTTTTAATATCAGCAGTCCCTTGTTATCTCATCAGAGTTCCTCACATGGAATCCAGGCATCCAATCACACACAAAGGCATCTATGTGCCACTACACGTGGGGCACCTCTGCTTTCGTCAGGAAGGAAATCCTTCCAGCTTCACCTTTTCCAATTTCCCTGGAGGGCAAAGTCCAAGCCTACAAGATGTCTTCCCTGTAGGCATACCTGTAGGGAACTATGCAGAAACATAAGAAACAACTAATGTCAAGTCTACTAAGAAGTGATCATCTATTTGGGGGGACTCAGCCATTTAGTGCTTAGGAATGTGGGAGGACATTTCCTTTCTGTACCTTCCTCTGACCCATCCACCTCCTTATCCCACCGTGCTCAGCAGTGCGACCATCATAGCTCTTAACCACCATGTTCTGTGGTTACCTTGGCCCTGGAGCCTTCCCTTCTGCCTGGGGAGCTTCTCTAGGCAGAAGAAGCATTTTACTTGTCTTAGTGTTCCAAAGCTAGCCCAATGCCCATCTATAGTAAGCTCCCAATAGTTATCTGTGAAACTGTGTTGAAGATACTATCTGCAAAACACCAAACATTCTTTGGATGATCAAGCCATCTTGTTCTGAGAACAAGAAGGTTCTTTAAAAAAAATGGGGTATCTGGGCCCTGCCAGAGTGGCTCAATTGGTTGGACGACATCCTGTGTCTGGCATTGATTCAAGGTCTGGGGCACCTGCCTGGGTTTCAGGTTTGATTCTTAGTCCAGGAGCATGGGAAGGGCAGCCCATTGATGTCTCTCTCTCTCACATCAATGTTTGTTTCTCTCTCTCTCCTCTCCCTCAGCATGTCTTCTGGTGATGATTAAAAAAAAAAAAAAAAATTAGGCATTTGGAAAAGTCACCAGATCCTGCCTTTGCTTCTTTTGGTTAACTTTTCTGCATTTACCCACATGGTTCCTTTAAAATCTGTACCATAACCTTGTCTGCTCCGCCTTAATGGGCTCCTTCAGTGACCCCATATTCACCTTGCAGGCATCCTTTCTGGATATTCAAGGTCCATAGTCCATTACAGCTGCCTCCTGGGCTGTTCCCCTCTCCCTCAGCAGCTGTCCACAGCTCCCAGAAATCACCCCATTAAGCCAGGGCTTCCAGCCACCGCTGGGAAGCGCTAAGGACACCTGGGCACTGTGCCGCTTGCCAGCGCCGGCCAAGACTGTCCCCACTACTCTTTTTAGGATAATGCTCCGGCGACCACTGTGGCAAGGGGATCCTGCAAGGTCCTGGGTCGCGTTCGGTAAAGTCCAGAGAGAGAGTGCGGGGGAAGAGGAGGGGAGAATCCCTGGGGTGGAGTGAGGACTCACTCCTAGTCCGGACCCTTCCCACCGAGAACAACCTAAAGAGAGCTTCATCGCCGCCTCTTTTCAACCATCCCAGGGCAGGGAAATGCAGGAACGGGCGCGGGTGGTGGTAGGGGAGAGCGTGGAGACAGCCCTCCGGGCCGATCACGAATGATTCGGAGTCTCTGTCTCTGTCTCTCGGTCTCGGCCTCTCACACGCACACGACCGGCTACTTCACACACACACACACTCACTTGCGCGCGCACACGCACACGCACACAACCTGCAACTTCAACTCCAGCTCATCTGAGCAAACTGCGCCGCGCGCCTCTCCCACTATGAGTCCACCGGCTCCATCCCCGGCCCGCGCCTCTCGCCTCACCCCAGCTTTTCCACCCAACCCCAGTTCCGCCTCCCAACTGACCGTGAAGTCGGAGGCAGTTCCCCAGTCCCAGGCCCCTAGCGAGGCTCCCGCCGCAGCCGCCGTCGCCTCCCCCTGCAGTCCCCGACCTGGGACCCGGCCTCGGGCTGCAGCGATGGCTCCCGGGCACAAGGCGCCGCGGCTCCCTGGACTCGGCCAGACACCCGGCGGCGCACAGGAGATGCCCATCGAGCTCCCGGCAGCGGCAGTGGCGCCTACAGGAGCGGCCGCCGCGCAGGTTGATGACGCACGGCGGGGGCGCGGTCGGCGCGGGGACGACGCGGGCTGATGACGCAAGACCCGGCTGGGCAGCATGGCGTTCGTGTCGCTGAGCGAGGCGGAGAAGGTGTATATCGTGCACGGCGTCCAGGTAGCTCCAGCAGCGGCGCGGGCGGCGCCCGCCGGGTCCCCCTGGCCCTGCGGGGCGCGGCCAGCCCTCGGTTCGCCGGGTGGAGCGGCGGGTCTGGGTTTGCCCTGTGATTAAACAGCTCTGCGGCCAAACGTTTGCAGCCTTAAGCTGGCAACGCGGGCACGTTGAGAACCCGCGGCGAGAGTCCATTTAAGACTGAAGGCGCACTTGCAGCCTTCCGGTCTACAAGGTTCGGAACCCGGGGAGGAAACCGTAGGCCTAGCCCCTGAGGCTTTAGCGAGGGAGCACGGCCCCGGGCCTCTCGCCAGCCTTCGCATGTCGCTTCGCTGTTGCTGTGGGCTTCTGGTCCGCTTTTTCTCACCTAGTGGTCCGGAGTCACAGGGAGAGAAAAGGCACCCGACGTGAAAGCGCTTTGAAAATATAAACCGCCTTCCAAACGAAGGGAGAAGTGTGTAGAAAGCAGCTCACGGCCGGTAGCACAGTATTTGCTGTTTCCCATTTGCCATTGGAGAAGTAAGATCCCTAGAGGCAGCTATAACTATACTAAGATCTTTTGTGCTCACTCTTCAGTCCTTGGTTTTGAGCACGCTAGAACCAGAGTTGGAGAAAGGTGGGCCTGGTGGTGAGCTACCAACGGAAGCGAAATGAGTCCTTCTTGACTGTAACCTACCCTGATTAGAGACCTCTCCCCAAAGCCTAGCCAGACTCCTGTATAGACTTAATCATTTTGTTTTGCTTTTCACTTTTGGTTCCGTGTGGTTAATTTCAGCTCTTCTGGTGTTCCTTTAAAGTCAGCCTTTAATTCCTTTACCTTTATTTTATGTTCATCTTTGAAATAATAAAGGAATATAAGGTACATGTCAAGGGAGTACAATCCTTTTAAAATTTTTAAAAATTTATTTATTTTGTCTTTATTCCTTTTTAGAGAGAGAGGAAGGGAGAGGGAGCAAGAGATAGAAACATCCATGGGATGGCTGCCACCTGCATGTCCCCCACTAGGGATCAGGCCCACAACCCCGGGCATGTGCCCTGACTAGGAATTGAACCAGCAACCTCTTGGTGCATGGGCCCATGCTCAGCCACTGAGCCACACCAGCGGTGTGCAATCCTTAATGGAAGCCAAAGGAACTAAATATTGGGGACGGTAATGCTCTGAAGCCTTCCCCAAGGAGATGGAATTGCTCTCCTAAATCCATGTCAAGCGTCCCTTCTGTGTATCTGCTGGACTCAGTATTTCATTCATTCAACCTAGAACTGAGCTAGACTTGAGGGATAGGAAGTAGCCTCTTTCATATAGCACCATGTTAGAAGAAAAAGATTTAAATTACAGATCTATTTGTGTGTTTATATATAAAATTGTACTGAGTCCTATGAAGGGGAAAAAAAGACCTGCCTAGTCTGGGAAATTAGGGGAGGCTTCCCTAAGGAAATAACATTTGATCTGAGCTCTCAGCATGACCAAGAATTAAGTAAGCTTGAGCATTCCAGAAGGAAAGGATGGGGAGTCCACTCACTGAGAGTAATGGTGGAAGATAGATTGCAGTGGTGGCCAGAAGCCTGATTCTCGGGATCTTAGAGGCTCAGCCACTGCCTAATCATGGATCTTAGGAGGTAATAATCCACTTGTCTGTACCATACCCTTGAGGCCTAGCCAGTGTCTAGCACTTAGTAGGTTCCTGGTAACATTGATGGTGTAAGGTAGGCCTTTAAAGGGGAGATGAGTTGGACATTGTTTTCAGTTTTTAAATTAAACCTCCCTCTCACCATTACCATGACATATTAGGGCCACAATTGTTGGTAAATGCTCAGCTCCGTGTATCACAGAACTATGCAGACTAACTGACCAAATAGACCTCTTCATAATGATTACTAACATTGACCACAAGTTTGCTGTGTTGATTGAGTAGCAGAACAATTCTGCATTTATGGAGGAACAAATCAGAATTTACACTGTTTGAGCAAAGATCAGAATGCAGGTGGACGAGCCTACCACAGATCTCCACTGACTCAGTTCTGGAATCACCTAAGCTTTTGTTTAGTTGGTTGCTGAGTGCCAGCAGTGCACCCTCCGCAATGCCTAGCTGGAATTCTTTTCTTGCCCCTAAAGACCTAATCATTTTGTGTTTTACTGTTCACCTTTGGTCCTATTTGGTCATTTTCAGCTTCTGGCACCCCTTACCCTCTGCCTTTGATTCTGTTACTATTTCCAGGATATTTCATCTTGTTTTGGTGGTAGTTAGAAGCAGTTGAAAGTAACCTCACAGTGTGTATTGAGGATTCAGTTGCTAGTTATGTTACCAACAATCTGGCTGAAGCAAAAATATGCATGATAAGAATGTGTTTCTCCAGGAATTTAAGAGCAGTTGGATCTTCAGGCTCTCCCTTGCTGCCTCTGCTGCTTTCTCTTCTCTCTTTCCCCTAAGGGAAAGCCCCCAAATCTAAATTCAGGATCGATTCTTATTCAAATTCATAAGCACTTTATTTTTTATTTTATTTATTTTCTTATTCTCACTGAGGATATTTTTTACATTTATCTTCAGACTGAGTGGGATGGAGAGGGAGAGAGAGAAACATCTATGTGAGAGAGACACATCTATTGGTTGCCACCCACATGACCCCAACCAGGGCCAGGGACGAACCACAACCAAGGTACATGCCGTTGGCCGGAATCGAACCCGGGACTCCCTGGTGTGCAGGCTGACGCTCTAACTGCTGAACCAAACTGGTCAGGGCCATAAGCACTTTAAGAGTAGAAACTTAAATGCATGGGCAAAGCAGCTGCTCCTGGTGGTGGCAGGCCAGGAATAAATCCACCCCCAAAAAAGGACAGGGTCTCTTTTTTTTTTTTTTTTTTTTATCCTCACCCGAGGGTATTTTTCCATTTTTTGTACAGATAGAGTGGGAGGGAGAGAGAGAGAGAAACATCGACGTGAAAGGGACACATCGAGTGGCTGCCACCCGCACAACCAACCAGGGCCGGGGACAAACCGCAACCGAAGTACGTGCCCTTAGCGGGAACCGAACCCGGGTCTCTCCAGACCGCAGGCCGACGCTCTAACTGCTGAGCCAAACCGGCCAGGGCCAGGGTCTCTTTTTTTATAGGGAATTAATAGTAAGACATATGGTGGATTGTCACATAGACCACTAGAAAGAACAAGGTATTCCTAAATTAACAGATAACATCAGGTAGTTATACTATACATTCATTAACCTCCTTCCTGAGGGCATGACATTTATCTTTGAGTGGCATTTTGGTTTTCTCGGTAGTCAACCAAGCCTGAGGCTATAGAGTTGAGCTCACCATTTCCCAGAACCTTTGCTGCTGGAGCCATATTGCATTTCAGTGAGTTCCCTTATACTCTTTTTTTGTTTTTTAATCCTCATCCGAGGACATTTTTTTCATTTTGTTCAGATAGAGTGGAAGGGAGAGAGAAGAAGAGAAAGAGAAACATCGTCGTGAAAGGTACACATAGAATGGCTGCCACCCACACGACCCAACCAGGGCCGGGGACAAACTGCAACCGAGGTACGTGCCCTTAGCGGGAACCGAACCCGGGTCTCTCTTGACCGCAGGCCAACGCTCCAACTGCTGAGCCAAACTGGCCAGGGCCCCTTACACTCTTTATATTGGCTTTCTGTTTCTCAGGCTTTGCGGTAGAAAGACTGTACTTGACTCCCACGTCCTGGGGTTACAGTTCATTCCCCTGTATGAGAAACCAGCCCTTCTAGTTCAGTTCTAGACTTGTCGATGGACAGACTTATTAGGCTGAGACTTGGCCACTGGGGTACAAGGCACACTTGAGAGAGAACAGTTTTTGGATAGGGGGATGGATCATTTTAGGTTCTAGTAGAAAATGGAATCTAATCAGATAATTCAGGAGACTTTTTGATGGGACTCTATGACAGTATGGATGTGTTAGGGAATCAACAAGAGAGATTGAAGAACCCAAACACTAGGGACCACAGGGAGCAGCGAGCGACCAGCTCTAGGCCAAAGGGGTCCATGGAGGGAATAGTGTTACCAGAAACAACGATAGCTGGGGCCATGGAGGAAGAGCTGCCAGCAGCTCCTGGGTAGGTGCACGCACAGTCAGAAATGTGCCCCAGGTCAGAGGTGTGTGAAGCGGGGCACTCTGTTCTCCTTCTGGTACCTTCCATTGGCCAAACTCAACCAGAAGGCAAAGGGAAATTAAAAGGGAATCTAGGTGATGCAGTTTGGAGGGAGTCAACCTGGTGCACAGGACAGGAAAGGATGGAGAATGGTCCTGAGGGGTGGGGCAGGGCAAGGAAAGGTTGATAAACCAGTATTTTAATACATGATTCGATTGGTTTCTGTTAAGTCCCCTCTCAGCCTTTGAAGGCCAAGATGTCGCACTTTAGGTACATATTATCTCAGGTTCAGACCAGGTTGTGGCAGGTGATTAGCCCCACCAAAAAACAGCTTCTTGGGGTTCTGTCAAAGCCATTTCATCAAATTTTTCTCAGCAGTTGAAGGGCAGTGTGGCTCAGCTGATTGTGCCAGTTTCTGTTCTGTGGATCCAGCCTTACCCGGAAGCAGCACAGAAAAGGGCACACAAGGGCAGTCAGGCCTCAGCTGCTCAAGCGGCCATGCCGGACACTTGATTTTGAGCCCTGTGCCATTTTCGTTTACGGACCCATGGCACTAAAAGGTTGCACCTAGCCGCAAATAACTGTGGCTGTTTTGATTTATAGATCTGTAGAATTAGAGAAGCACCTTGGAGGCCATTTAATTCAATCTCCATCTTTTAGTTAACGGCAGGACCAGGCCTGGAACCC